GCCCTGATCAGAAGCCTGACCAGTGTAAATTTATAATCCACTCTGCCCCTCCCTCAATGTGGAGAAGACATGCACCAGCTTTTGTGCCTGAGCCAAGGTTTCCCAAGCACTTCAAAATACACTATCTTAGGGAAAATATAAAACAGGTTTATTAAATACAGAAAGATAGATTTTAAGTGGTTATAAGTGGTAGGCATAAAAGGACAGAGATGGTCACCAGAGAAAATAAAAATAAGCACCCAATCTATATTCTATAAACTAAACAGGATTTGAATCAAGCACTATTCTCACCCCACTGGATGTTACAGACCTTCATGCACAGACTTCCCTCATGAAGTCTGGACCAGTCTCCTCAGATGATCTTCTTGGCATCCCTGTTGTTTCCATAGTAGGTGGTAGAGGAGAAAGGCCCCTGCCTGCTGCAACTGTCCTTCATTTTATACCCTTGGCCCATGTGCCTCCCAGATACTAGCACAGGTATGTCCTGGTGGGCTTTTCTGAGTCACAGTGAACGATCAGTTCCCATTGTGTGGTGCTTGAATAGCTGAGTCACACAGTTAATTAATGGGTGGTCAATACCCATCTAGGCAGGGATCCTTTGCATGCCACTAGCAAACTTACAGCATATTTCAGTAACAACCATGCAGCACAATCTCATAACTTTGTACACACTAATGATATACACATTTGGATAGGACAACGGGTTTCAGCAGATCATGACCTTTCATATGATACCTAACGTGGCATGTTTTGTATGAAATATCACAACCATCTATGAATAATGAATATGGGGGTTACAAGGTGTCATTGTGAGGTAGAGTGTGTCACATAAGAAGGCCAAAAAGGGGGCCACTTGGGGGAGAGTACAGTGTAATGTGGAACTGAGAAATTGTGCTGAGCTGAGACCTGCCAAACTCTTTCCACACAAGCCACTAATGACTGCTCATTACTGACCCAGTCTGAATTAAAGCTGATGACCTAAAGGTTTAAAGGCTTTGTCTTTCACCACCAATGTCCTCAGATGCCCTCAGTTCTCTAGAACTGCCCATGGCAGTCCCCAGTGCATCCACGCTCCCTGATCCATTCTCCATATCATGGTGTGAATTGGTTACCCCCCACTTGCCCTGAAATGGTTATTGTAGGCTAAGAATGGGCCAATTGACCAGACAGGCCACAGCAGAGGGGAATCAAGTGGCTTAACTAATCCACTGTCTGAATGAGGGAGGCCAGCTGAGGAGGAACCAGCTGGGCTGGGTTTATAAAGACAGGAAGCTGATAGTGGAGAGGGTAGTAGCTATGGAGGTAGAGAAGGGAGGTGTGTTTGGAGGCTACAGAGCTACCTGTCTGTAGTTACCCCCTGGGAGGAGGAAGTTGTGAGGCTGGAACATCTGGAGAGGCAGTGACAGGCACAAGGAAAGGGATCATGGAAAGGCAGTAAGGTCAAGGATGGAACAGACCTTAGCTGTTGATTACAGGGTGCCTGAACTGGAACCCCTAGTATTTGGGTGGGCCTTGGTTCCTCTGTCAGCCACTGAGGAAGTGGATAGTGAATGAGAAGATTGCTAGTGAGGAAAGACTTTGATACCCCAGAAGAGTGACCTGGCTGGAGGGCCAAGTCACACAGAAGGAGCCTCTGGAGTTGCAGAGGTTGAGAAGGACTGCGAGTAGGGTGAGCAGCAGAAGGGGGCCCTAGACCTCGAAGGAGCTAATCCCTAGAGTGACCAGGAGGAGGTGCCCACCTGCAGTGAGTGGACCCTGTGATAGGTGGAAAACATACTACATCGTAACTTGCTATGCTGTTTTTATGAATATTGATAACAAATATAAATAAATCTGTCTTCCCACTTCCCCATCTCCTGGTAAAAAGCTCACATTGCCCCAGGCTGTGGTCTTGTATCTGAGATTCATCTCTGAGGCAGTTCTGTACAGATGAATTTAACATTTTTTTTCTGGAGGCAAATTTAACGCTAAATTGGCATTCTTTTCATGGTACCACCACAATCCCAGCTGCTGGCTATGAGGGCCTCTCTGCAGCCATCAGTGATAAGCAATAAATGGTGTGAGAAAGTGCCATTGTGCCCCCTCACTCCAAGACCCTCAATGGTGGGGCTAACACACCCACCCACCATTTCTCCTAGATTCTCTCTGATGCCTGTACGGATTAGAACAAAATGTAAACCATTTAAAAATACTGATTATAACTGTAAGTGGACCTGGGACCCCTCCAAGCCTGCTAAGTACCATAGCTTACCGGTAGCCCAAGTCCACAGCACCGCACATAGCATCTTGGTAAGTCTGCCTCTCCTGCAGGGCCAATATGGAGGAGTTCAGAGAGAGGCTGAAAGCTGTATCACTGTGACTCCAACCCCAGATAGAAGGATTAAAGTCACTTCCCAATAATGATGTTACACTGGAATGAATTTAACTTGATCCAGTTTTGTAGGTTTTGGCATAAGCTATGGGGAGAAGTAGAGAGAGAGGCAGGTACTCAGTCTCTGCTACAGACTGTGGTATTCACTGCAGAGCTCTGCTGGAGGGGAAATGCCATTCACAATAGGATGCTGGTATGGCACATGGATGCGCACTTTTAGACATGTGACTGGACTTAATGTAGGAGCTAAAGGGTTAATAATGGTAGCATGCTGCGAGCCTTTCAGGTGCCTGAGAACAGTCATGTCCTGTTGGCCTCCATCTCTCTAATAAAGAAAAGAAAGCTGCATGGGAGCACCAGTGAGACTGGTGCTGAGATCCCTGAAGACCTTTGGACCTTTGAGCCCCTGTATATGAGAGCTTGGGACCTTTGAGTCACTGTATATGAAATTTGAGGAACTGTATATGAAAGTAGGGATGTAAAATATTAAACGGTTAAAGGTTAACTGATAAGTATTAGTCTTACCGTTAATGTATTGCAGCCAACATTTTAAAACAGATTGGTAACATAATTTTGCGACATTGTAATACCCAATGTGCACATTAAAAACACCACAGCAATACCCAGCAGGTGCTGGACCTTGCAGCGCTCTCACAGCTTGGGGCACCACTGGATTAGCCCATGCCAGGGTGAGAGGGCACTGCTGGGGGCAGCCTGAACCCCAGCCCCCAGCTCGGCTTCTCTTGCAGCTGGCTGCAACGGGGGGTCTGCTGGAATACTTGGATCTGCCCGGGCACTGCTGCACAGGAAACATGTTTAGATCCAAGCGGGACACCCCCTGGCAGATTGCACAGCTTCCCCGAGGAGCTGCTGCTGCCCAGGTGCTGCTTGGCTACCCCTGCCTCCAGCGGCTCCTCCTCCTCTGCTGCTCTGGGCAGCAGGAACCTGGGGGAGGCAGCAGCAGTCACTGTGGGGATGTGTGCCGGGCAGCACATGCCCAGCTAGGCGGTGGGGGAAGCTGCAGCTGGGATGCACCCGCCTTAGTAGAGTCTGCTCCAGCTGCTGCTGGGCCCCCAAGTCCCTGCCCCCTTCCACCCACTTGGCAGCGGCCACCCGCATGCCGGGCACTGCAGACCAAAGGGGGTGGGAAGGGTGGAAGTGTGAGGCTGGACCAGAACAGGCCGGGCGGGTTCTCCTGCATGTGCCCCCTGCGCACACACCTCTCACCCGCATCTCCCCACCTCTGCCCTGGTTAACGATTAAAGAGTTAACCGATATAATGTCAATAGTTTAAATGGATACTTTTAAAAACGATATTTACATCCCTATATGAAAAGGTGAGCGTGTCACTGTGTAATGCCCCATTCCAGAGACTGAGTTACTGGCCTCACCTCTAGCTCCAGGAGCTTCTCTCTATAGAAGCAAACTGCATTAAAATCTCTGTTTTGAAAGAAAATTTCACCATTTCTCTGTCTCTTCCTGATTCCTCCCTCTGAAAATTTTTCAAACTCTCCCAGTCAAAAAAAGGGTACTGTTTACGTCCCTGCTTCTTGCTGGTTCTGTTCCTGGGCGTCTCCCACAGGTGAGGGATATGCTAATTAGGGGATGGGGTAAACACACACCTGCATATAGATAGTTCACTCACTACTGGTTTCAGCAACTCGAAGTCCAGCTGATGTCAAGGGGAGCTCAGTATCTCTGAAAAGCCAGGTCCTAGAAACTGCTGTTATGCAGTGCTTTGCAGCCCAACTGCCCTAGTAGGGGACAAAAGTGATGTAGAGAAAAGAAGTGACTTCACCAAGGTAACTGGGTGTCAGTGCAAGGGCTGGAAATAAAACCCCAGACTCCAGCTGCCCAATTCCTTGCTGTAACAGAGTGCTGGTCATTTAAGGGCCCCCTTGGGGTAGGGAGAGCAAGATCTACTGGAAAGGGGAAATGGGATATAAAAGAGCTTCATGTTCTCTGTAGGGGATGGAAGTTTGAGAAAGCAGTGGATTTCCCCTACACTACAGCTGTGACTCCTTGAGGGGGAGAGTGGACCGATAGAAGGGCAATATACAGTAGCAGTCCCTAGGGAGGAGGCCGGGTGGGGTCCCAGAGCAGATGAGAGGAGGTTTGGTTGTTAATTGTTAGCAGCATAGAGCCTATGATACATAGATAAACTACACCTCTATCCCAATATAACGCGACCCGATATAACACGAATTCGGATATAACGTGGTAAAGCAGTGCTCTGGGGGGGCAGGGCTGCGCGCTCCGGTGGATCAGCATGTCTGGCTCCAACACACTGCTCTGAGTGGTGTGTTAAGGTTCCTGGGCCAGAGCTGAGGGGCTGGATAGGGGCAGAGGGTCTCAGGGGGGTTGGATAGGGCGTGGGAGTTCCAGGGGGCCTGTCAGGGGGCGGGGGTGTGGATAGGGGTCAGGGCAGTTGGGGGACAGGGAGCAGGGGGGTTGGGTAGGGGATGGGGTCCTGGGGTTGATTAGGGATGGGGGGGATCTCTGGAGGGGGCGGTCAGGGGACAAGGAGCAGGGGGCTTAGATAGGGGATGGGGTCTTGGGAGGGGTGGTTAGGGGCGGGGGGTCTCTGGAGGGGGTAGTCAGGGGACAAGGAGCGGGGGGGTTGGATGGGTCGGGGGTTCTGAAGGGTCAGTCAGGGGGCAGGAAGTGACTATTAATAACAGAAATGCTCGAGGCCAAAGCAAGTTCGATAGAACGCGGTTTCACCTATAACGCGGTAAGATTTTTTGGCTCCCGAGAACCGTGTTATATTGGGGTAGAGGTGTATCTTGATTCCACTGAGCAGAGGGCAGTGGCACGCACACATGTGCACCCTCCTCCCAGGCAGTCCATTCTTTGCCTTCCTCAGCTACAGAAAGCCAGATGGTGTATTACATCCTTCACGAGCCCTCAGTCTGAAAAGGATTCGGTTCCAAAGCCCTGGTACAATTAAGGCTGTGCATAAATACGGCATGCAAGGAGCAGACTGTGGCTGAGTTTTGAGGTGCTATCTCAGCAAAAGCAAGGACAATTAAAAAGTTACTTAGAAGCACACAATGCAGGAATTGGGGGACCCTGGGAAGGGCTGGAACAAACCAAGCTGTCATTACCCATTCAAAGCTGAGCTAACCCACCTGATGCTGGATAGGCTGTGGCACAGCTGGGATTTGGGACTGACTTGCCAGGGGATTAGAGCAGTGACTTTCCCTGTTTTTTTTGTCTATGTAAACCCTAAGAGGATCCACTCAGTGCTTTGCAGACATCTCCCAGAGCCCAAAAGAGAGCCTAGGAAAAGGGATGAAGCTCAGGGTCTGGAGAGACCCAGGTGACATATTCATGCAATGGACTGACAGGTCCCAGGACTAGATCTGCCATCAGAGAGCCACATGCAGCTCAGGATGGATCAGCTGGGTGTGTCCAAAGGCTGATTGTGACTTCCACTCCTCATAAAACAGAGTAATGAGGGTGGTGAATGAACCTATTTAGACTAGGCCTACACTATAACCTTCTGTCCTTCCCTCAGGGGGTGATGTCCTCTGTCCAGTGTGGTGTGACCGGGTAGGCTGACTCACAGCCTTCTCACTCACTCTGAAAGGCCACGATTGCAGCATGATGCAGACCATTTCCTGCGTACAGAAAGGTGTTTCACAGGAGTGCCAATAGATGGGTTAGTGCTCTCTCACACACACAGGTAACCTCTCTCTCTCTCTCTCTGCTAATCTTTGGCAGGACCGCTAAATAGATGAGTTTGCTATTTCCTCCCTGCTCAAAACCTCACTTAGCCTTGCTGTGTACCTTGGACCAAACTATTTTTAACCATGTTCCCCAAAGTCTTGGACTTCTGAACGAGCTTTCCTGTTGCAGGACTGTAGTACAAGTTAGTGGGGGAGGTTTAGATTGGATATTAGGAAAAACTTTTTCACTAAGAGGGTGGTGAAACACTGGAATGCGTTACCTAGGGAGGTGGTAGAATCTCCTTCCTTAGAGGTTTTTAAGGTCAGGCTTGACAAAGCCCTGGCTGGGATGATTTAACTGGGAATTGGTCCTGCTTCGAGCAGGGGATTGGACTAGATGACCTTCAGGGGTCCCTTCCAACCCTGATATTCTATGATTCTATGATACAGGTAGCATAGCTTTGTCCTACCTACATTCCAAGACTGAGCTATGTCTTAACCAATTAGCCACAGCAGAAAAACCTTAACCTAAGGTCCAGTACTATCAGATGTGCTCATTTCAGAGGCCCCCCTGCAATGTCCAGTGGGCTGCCTGAGCATACAGTGTTTAAAGACCATGTCCCCTTTTTCTGCTCCCAACTGGTGTCTGTTTATCCTCCAGGGCTCTTCCCCTCAGCTGAGCTAATAGAGCTTGGACTCACTAGGCTTGTAAACTGCTTCAGACTCAGTTGCCCTGGGCTGGCACGCAGTTCTGATGATCCCCCGCCCCCATACACTTTGCCAGCCTGTCTGGTAGATAAGGATGGCAGCAGCTTTAATTCCTCACTACGCCTTGACTGCCAACTCCGCTGCCCACTCACCCTAAATAAACACTGTCCAAGGGTTTGTCTGCCAATGCTCTGGAGATAAAGGGCCAATTCCACCAGATCTCCTTCCTCCATCCCTTTTATCTCATGACTCATCCAATTTGTTAGACAATCCACCTGCGGCAGGAGAGGACCCTTTTTTTTCCTCCCATTAAAATCTCTGAACAAATCTTCCTGCACAGAACCTGGGCTGGATATTTAGGAATAAAAAAGTCTCTAGCAGCTATTACTGGGCCTTGAATTACCATTGATTGAATGATCAATAACAGAGGCTGTCTCTGCTCAAGAAATCTTCCTGTGTTTGTGGCAGGATCCTGTTTCCTGGGGCTCTGCTGCTGCCTGGGGCTGTTGTGTCATCATCAATCCACTCCGTGACTGCTGGGTCCATGCCTTGGCATAAGAAGGCCTTGTATGGAGACTCTAGACAGCACAGAGAGAACCACAGGGTCTGTCAGTATCCACCAACCTTAATAAAGAATCCCTTTTACATTCAACTGATCTTTTCTCTACTGCAAGTAAGGGATGGGGCTGGGATTGCAAAGGGAATGGCTTGGGATTTGGAAGCCTTTACTGGGACGTCAAAGCTTCCCTTATATCCTGGCAATCCAGCATTCCAGGCTGACTGATAGACTGAAAGCAAACATCATTACCCCTGCTGTGAAGAAGGTCAAGACTATCCTCATTTTGCAGGTGCAGAAACTGAATCACAGAAAGTGCACGTTCTTTTCCCAACTCTCATAGCAAGTTAGAAGCAGAGGTGGTGCAAATCTAAATCACACTGTCTCTCAAAGCTAGGGATGGAACCTAGGAGTCCTGAGTAGAACCTGGGAGAGCGAGTGCTAGTTCCCTGCACTAACCAGTGGACCACCTTCCCAGCAAGAGCCATGATTAGAATCTAGTAGCTGCAGTTTGCTGTCCCCTGATCTAACCACTAGGTCATAGATCCTCCCTGTATCATTGCCTTGATGCAGCATATTGGGTCAAGTTTGTGTTTCTTACCCTTGATGCAGTAATTCTTCTTGGTAGGCTCCTCCCTGTCCCCACATCCAATTCAGGTGATGGTAGGGGAGGACTGTAGTGGGGAGGGGCCTGGCTAGAGAAGGTAGAAGAAGCAGTGACCTGTGAGAGTTCCAGGGGTTGCACAGCAATTATGCAATGAGAAAACATTAAAGCCAAAGGGCCCAGTTGTGCTGCTAGTGATTCAGTAGCAAAACTTCAGTGGGTGCAGGATTGGTCCCTTACCCATTTGCTGATTTTTGTTAATAAATTAATAAAAAAAGGCAGCAAACTGGGGCACCCTGCTCTCTTAAAGGGATAGATGCTCCCAGGAGCCATAAGTGGGGATCCATCAAGAGTTATTGTAGGGGTCATGGGCTGATACTTGCTGATAATGAAATAGGCACAAAAGTTTGACTCTTCCCAGGAAACAGCTGCAAGATTAAAAAGCATCAGAACAAAATAAAATATTTTTTTTTAAATGCTGGATTTGGATTCATGATGTTGCAAGGGGATTAGTAGAGCCTGGGAGCTGGCTTCCCCACTGTAGCGCTTGGGTGCGCTAGGCCTGTTGACAGCAGATGCTGTCGGCTTAGCTAAGCAGCCTTGGGTCTCATTAAGAAAGGATTTTCCTCACCTCTACCTGGAATCTAGCCTTTCTAATAACTCTGTTGTTTAAGCTTCCAGCCTCTGGTAAAAACCTGCTTGCTCTTTATTCTAAACTGGCACTGCCTGATGAGGCAGCATCTTGGAGGATGGATGGACAGACAGACAACACTGAACCTTAGATGGCTGAAGTTCATCATTCACTCACTGCAATGATGTTCCCATTCCAGGCCATGTCCAGGGACTTCAGAAAAAGAGAAATGGTTAGAACATGGGAGAGGGAGTCAGAAGCGCTTCAGTTCTTAACTTAGCTCAGTCACTGATTTTCTGTATGACTCTGGTTGAGCACCTGCCATACCTAAGGTTTCAGAGTAGCAGCCGTGTTAGTCTGTATTCGCAAAAAGAAAAGGAGGACTTGTGGCACCTTAGAGACTAACCAATTTATTTGAGCATGAGCTTTCGTGAGCTACAGCTCTCGAAGTGCCACAAGTACTAAGGTGCTAAGGTGTCACAAGTACTCCTTTTCTTTTTGCCATACCTAAGTTTTCCTCTCTGTAAAATGGGTTAAGGAAACAAACCAACTTCCCTGAGGGCTTATGAGACTTAATTAATCAATGCGTGTAAAGTGCTTTGAAGATCCAGGACCACAGCCATCTGTAATGTGAGTGCAGTTTATCCTGAAATCAGGGAGTTACAGCGGCTTATGCCATAGAGGAATTTGGCCCAACACTAACTCATGATATCCAATTATTGTCACACTGGAATTTTGTCACCCCCAGCGGTAGTGTGGGCTGCTGCCCAGCTTACAGGACTCATGGCCTCTCCAATTCAAGGTTGGTTTTGGAAATGCGGCTTGATCACAATCACTTCTACAGACATTAAAATGTTATCTAAAGTGCTACAAATAACCCTCTGATTATCTACTGGCTCTTAATGCTACTCCCCAGAGATAACAAGCTGTGATGCTTCCTCTGGGCCATATAATAATCACCCCAATTAGTCCCAAGCAGCAGTTATTAAGCTCATGGCAGTGCTTTTGTTTACAAAGCAGAAATAATTAAGCAGGTGCCTGTGATAGTCATGTGGCTGGGAGTGATCAAGGATATTCCATGCTTCATGGCTTGGGAAAGGAGAAAAACTTATGTGCAAGAGATCCCACCACATGTGTAAGGCAGTGACCCCACAGCACCCTGCACATGAAAGTCCCTCCACACCAGTAGGCTTGTTTTGTTGCAAAACCAATGGATAATTAGCCAAAGCAAATGCAATCAGTTGTTAATGCTGGGAATTATTAATCCCTTGCATAGATCTCTCTTTCATCTAAATACCCTGACTATTAGATGGGTGGAGGATCGAAACACAGACCCAAACCCAGCCTTCATGATTGGGGTGTCTCTTCACAGGCCCAACTGAGCTAGTCTACAGCAGTTTGGTAAACCTTTTTCCTGGAAGCTGTTATTTTCTGTCTTAGAATCTGTTTTCACTTTTTATTTTAAATCCTTCTGCTCCACAAAAATAACCTTCTAAATGCAACCTGAGTGTACACCAATGCCAGGAGGTTGGCCTGAATCTTCAGACAGCCTAAAATACTAGCTCTGAGAGAGATGTGAAGTGCCCCTATTCATATCAAAGGATACTTAACCATGGAATCTAATGATGACAATTCAATGTCTATATTGATTATGATTTAAATTATCAAAATCATTTGAGAAGGGAGAGAGACAGTTATACTATGAAGAGCTACTGTGTGAAGTCTATATTGACTTCCCAGAACTCCATTTTTGTTTTTTCTCTCTCTCTGATATTTTGGCCTAATTTTGAAGCATTTGCAAAGGTATTTCAAGCAATCATATCAAGAAAAGAGGCAAACATCTCTCCATGTGCCTGGTGAAAATGCAACAGGTTCCAGTAATATTCATTTATGGACCACCTGGGGCTGTGATTTCCCTTCTGGGAACACTTGTTGTCTCTTTGCTGTGACACTTGCAGGAACGGGATTAACTGTTGTACAGTGCTTCACATAGAGCACCATGATATGTTTATAGACTGTGGAAGTCACTGATCATAATCATGTGGCTTGAGCTGAGTCAGCATGACATTTAATTAGTCTTAATTGGTACAAGGCATGAGATGAACTAGAAGTGTTAATTTCATGATTTTTGGTACTTAACCCACTATTGAGTCTACTAGTCTAAGCTGTCTACCAGTATCTGTCCATCCATCCAGTTATCTGTTTTTTCTATCAGATCTAATCTACTCTATTTCTGTATTTCTCTTTATCTAGGCATTTATACTACATTCATCACTCTGGCATCCCCAGATCAGACTGCCTCTTTTGGTTGCACATCAGCCCATGAATCCCACAGACTGCAGAGAAGGGGGTTAATGGAATTTGCAAGTCCATTATGACAACAGGCAGAAATACTTAGATGAGATGAAGCAGCAAAGGGGTTTAACTGACACCTCAGCAAGTATGTTAAAGCATTATGGCCAAATGCTCCTGAATGTATGTTCCCCTCCCCTGCCATATTTCAAATGCAAGCATCATCTGAGAGCCCCTGGATGCCCCTTGCTGTGTGTTTTTCCTTGTTCTCTTCCCCTGGTCTCTGGTGTTCACACTCTGTAGTTTTACATACTTTGTTTTCCTTGTAAATGGCTCTGATTTTAAATATATTCCTCTGCATTGGAGCCACAAGGAGATCTGCTCTGCTCCTTTCACTGCATGTGGGTACAGATGGCTTATCTTCATTGTGTCACATCCCAGGATTTGTGGTGTCAATGTGGTGTCTCCACTCACGTGGGGAGGCTTTGCTGATCCCTGGAGACAGAGACAGGAGAAAAACAGTGAGATGAGAGAGAGAGAAAATCCCATAGTTGGGTTAACAGCAGAGTCTGTACCTAGAGACCTTCTGCACTAACAACATGAGCCTCTACCACTTGAGTTAGAAGAGCAACTCTCTACGCTGCCAGTTGTAGACACAATAGACACTTATCCTCTTATGAGGACCAGACAGTAGAGGGGGAACAAAGTTCCACACAGGCAGTCAGAAAAGTGGGTGTGGCCAGCTCATAAATGGGCATGGCAAAGAACTACTTTGAGAGGAAGGTATCACAAGGAAGGCAGGAGGGATGAGTCTGTGAACTGCCTCGCATGGGGGTGTCTCTTGTGTTCATATAGGTGTTGGGTGGCTGCCATCTGCAAAGCACATTAAGGCCAGGCTAGTGCCAGGGTCCAAACACCACTTCCTAAACCATGAAATTGCCCTTGGTTCTTTTCTCTTGCCAACGCTGATAGAATTTTGCCTTTTGCCTTTTTCTTCCACTGTGCTTGTCTGAGGATTAAGCAGCTGGGAGTCTGGAGTGAGTGAGATTCCCCCCACCTCTTTGCCATGCAAATAGAGAAAATTAATCTTTCAGCCTGCTTTGATATTTGTGCTGAATTACAAGCTGGGAGTGGAGATAAAGTGTAAGCGAAAGGAAAGTACAGGTACGGCAGAGAGCCTAGCCGCCTGGCATAGGCCTTTGTCCGCACTGATAAAGGCTTTCCTGTGTCATGCATAATTCACCAGGCATCACCTCCCGCAGCTTCTGCATGGGCTTATTTCTGTGTCCCAGAGTCTGAATCATTGGTCTCTTTGTTTTAACTACTTGACTTCCTTTTATTTGTTTTAAACCTGCTACCATAGAATCATAGAATATCAGGGTTGGAAGGGACCTCAGGAGGTCATCTAGTCCAACCCCCTGCTCAAAGCAGGACCGATCCCCAATTAAATCATCCCAGCCAGGGCTTTGTCAAGCCTGACCTTAAAAACTTCTAAGGAAGGAGATTCTACCACCTCCCTAGGTAACGCATTCCAGTGTTTCACCACCCTCCTAGTGAAAAAGTGTTTCCTAATATCCAACCTAAATCTCCCCCACTGCAACTTGAGACCATTACTCCTTGTCCTGTCATCCTCTACCACTGAAAACAGTCTAGATCCATCCTCTTTGGAACAACCTTTCAGGTAGTTGAAAGCAGCTATCAAATACCCCCTCATTCTTCTCTTCTGTAGACTAAACAATCCCAGTTTCCTCAGCCTTTCCTCATAAGTCATGTGTTCCAGTCCCCTAATCATTTTTGTTGCCCTCAGCTGGACTCTCTCCAATTTTTCCACATCCTTCTTGTAGTGTGGGGCCCATTAATTTTATTTGGTGGCCCCTAGTTCTTATATCATGGGAACAAGTAAATAACTTTTCCTTATTCACTTTCTCACACCACTCATGATTTTATAGTCCTCTATCATATCGCCCCCTTAGTCTCCTCTTTTCTAAGCTGCAAAGTCCTAACCTCTTTAATTTCTCCTCATATGGGACCCGTTCCAAATCCCTAACTCATTTTAGTTGCCCTTTTCTGAACCTTTTCTAATGCCAGTATATCTTTTTTGAGATGAGGGGACCACATCTGTATGCAGTATTCAAGGCGTACCATGGATTTATATAAGGGCAATAAGATATTCTCCGTCTTATTCTCTATCCCTTTTTTAATGATTCCTAATATCCTGTTTGCTTTTTTAGACTGCCGCTGCACACTGTGTGGACGGCTTCAGAGAACTATCCATGATGACTCCACGATCTTTCTCCTGATTAGGTGTAGCTAAATTAGCCCCCATTATATTGTATGTATAGTTGGGGTTATTTTTTCCAATGTGCATTACTTTACATTTATCCACATTAAATTTCATTTGCCATTTTGTTGCTCAATCACTTAATTTTGTGAGATCTTTTTGAAGTTCTTCACAGTCTGCTTTGGTCTTAACTATCTTGAGCAGTTTAGTATCATCTGCAAACTTTTCCACCTCACTGTTTACCCCTTTCTCCAGATCATTTATGAATAAGTTGAATAGGATTGGTCCTAGGACTGACCCTTGGGGAACACCACTAGTTACCCCTCTCCATTCTGAAAATTTACCATTTATTCCTACCCTTTGTTCCCTGTCTTTTAACCAGCTCTCAATCCATGAAAGGCTCTTCCCTCTTATCCCATGACAACTTAATTTACGTAAGAGCCTTTGGTGAGGGACCTTGTCAAAGGCTTTCTGGAAATCTAAGTACACTATGTCCAGTGGATCCCCCTTGTCCACATGTTTGTTGACCCCCTCAAATAACTCTAATAGATTAGTAAGACATGATCTCCCTTTACAGAAACCATGTTGACTTTTGCACAACGATTTATGTTCTTCTATGTGTCTGACAATTTTATTCTTTACTATTGGTTCAACTAATTTGCCCGGTACTGATGTTAGACTTACCGGTCTGTAATCGCCAGGATCACCTCTAGAGCCCTTCTTAAAAATTGGCGTTACATTAGCTATCTTCCAGTCACTGGGTACAGTAGCTGATTTGAAGGACAGGTTACAAACCATAGTTAATAGTTCCGCAATTTCACATTTGAGTTCTTTCAGAACTCTTGGGTGAATGCCATCTGGTCCTGGTGACTTGTTACTGTTAAGTTTCTCAATTAATTCCAAAACCTCCTCTAGTGATACTTCAATCTGTGACAATTTCTCAGATTGGGGAACGGCTCAGGTTTAGGGTTAGGTTTGGGAATCTCTGGAAGGAGGGTCCCAGCTAAGGGAAGGTTTCCCTCTGTTCCCGTTGACTGTTCTCCTTCTCTGGGCCTTTCATCCTTCTTAACAGCACAGAGGCTGTCTGACCAGAGCTGGGACAAATCTACAGTGTCCAGGAAAGCCTCATCAACATACCTCTCTGCCTCCCTTAGCTCCTCCAGTTCTGCCACCCTGGCCTCCAAAACCCATACACCGAATGCACGCATACGCCACCCACCCACAGGGCAGGTAATCATACATGCTACACTGAGTGCAATAAACAGGATAGCCCCCACTCTGCTGCTGGGCTTCTGCCTGCATTTTCTCCTACAGCCACCTAGGTTAATGCTAGGGTTTTTGTTTAAATCAAGAAGTTTTGATTACAGTTTAGTTTAAAGGTTTTAAAGAATGGCAAGTGTACCTCGCCCCCTTTCCACTCCCCTTCCAAACTCCCTCTCGAAACTCCCTGTTAGCGGTCCCTGTTCGCAAACAAACAGACAGACAAACACAAGCTCAGCACACAGCAAGTAACCCCCAAACACACACTACAGACAGCCACTTACCCTAAGGGTCCCGTATTTGCTCCTCCTTCACCTGGAGAACTCCCTCTCAAAACTCCCTGTTAGCGGTCCCTGTTCGCAAAAGCCGAGGGTATAAAACAGACAGAGTGGATGCATACTGAGCCCTTCTCCTGCCCCCACCTTTGCTGCAAGAAACCAGGATGCTGAGAAGATGACAAGACTCCAACACAGGAGATTGGTCCAGGTTTAAGGAACAAACTGTATATTAAGGACTGAAATATCCAGTGCTTTGAGAAAAACTGCTTAATCTAGTTGCTGCTCAGTCTAATAGGGTTGAGAGTTTAGACTGAGTGCTTATATTTTCTTTTCTTTTGGTAACCACTCTGACTTGTTATGCTTTTACTTATAATCACTTAAAATTTGTCTTTATAGTTAATAAATTTGTTTGTTTATTCTACCTGAAGCAGTGTGTTTGGTTTGAAGTGTGTCAGAGGCTTCCCTTGGAATAACAAGCCTGGTACATATCAAACGCATATATTCTTGCAGCGTCAAGCAGGCATAACTGGACATTGCAAGACGGAGGTTCCTACGGTTGTGTCTGGGAGATATTGGCTAGTGTCATTTGCTTGCAAGTAGCTGGGAGCAGTTTACATGGCAGAGGCTGTGCGTGAACAGCCCAGGAGTGGGGGTTCTCACAGCAGAGCAGGGTAAGGCTGGCTCCCAGAGTCAAGGTTTGGAGTGGCCTAGCAGATCATTGGTCTAGATAACACCAGAGGGGAATGTCACATGCATCCCTGACCATCTTGGCTAATAGCCATTGATGGACCTATCCTCCATGAACTGATCTAGTTCTTTTTTGAATCCAGTTATAGTTTTGGCCTTTACAACATCCCCTGGCAATGAATTCCACAGATTGACTGCATGCTGTGTGAAGAGGTACTTCCTTTTGTTTGTTTTAAACATGTTGCCTATTAATATCATTGGGTGACATCCTGGTTCTTTTTTGCCACACCATTCATGATTTTATAGACTTCTATCAGATCCCCCCTAAACTGTCTTTTTTTTCCCAAGCTGAACAGTCCTAATCTTTTAAATCTCTTCTCGTATGGAAGCTGTTCCATGCCCTAAATCATTTTTGTTGTCCTGCTCTGTACCTTGGGCGTACCATAAATTTATATAGTGGCATTATGATTTTTACTGTATTATTATCTATCCCTTTCCTAATGGTTGCTAACATTGTTAGCTTTTTTTGACTACTGCTGCACATTGAGCAGATGTTTTCAGAGAACTGTCCACAATGACTCCAAGATCTTTTTTTGAGTGGTTACAGCTAATTTAGATCCCTTCGTTTTGTATGTGTAGTTGAAATTTTGTTTTCCAATGTGCATTACTTTGCATAGGCCCTATACTGTCAATAGCTAATAGGGATTCTCCATTAGCTCAAGTGATAGGGATACAGAGCTGTAGGATGGGAGTTCTATCCCCTTTGCTGCAATGAAGTTTCTAGTGCTGTGGTGATACTCTGAAGCCTGAGGTGACCACAGATTTGTTACAACAGTATATATATATTTAAGAGGGTTTTTTTAAATTGGTTTAAACCTTCCCCGGCCATGTTTGAGACTCAAACATTGCAGTGTTATGCCAATGCATGACAGCTAGAAAATGTAATTGATTACAAACAAATGTGAAACTGATTAATCTATTTGCAATGT